CCTTAGATGAAATCTCCTTTCTTCCAGCCTAAATGTGTGACCTTGTGTCCTATGTATAGCCCTGTTTATGAATAGATTTCCAGATAAAGGTTTGTACTGGCCCCAAATATATTTGTATAAAGTTATCATATCCCCTCTCAGGCACCGTTTTTCCAAACTAAACAGATTTAATTTTTTTAACCTTTCTTCATAACTAAAATGCTCCATTCCTTTTATCAATTTTGTAGCTCGTCTCTGGACCCTCTCCAGTTGTATTAGTTGATTAGTTGTGGTCAGGGACAATAAGTCAAGTTATAGTAGTGGTGTTCAAGTCGGTTTTGGTGTCCCGAAACCGATGTTCAAGTAGGCCTGTAAAAGAGGGCCAACCAATTGAATAGCTTAATAAAGGGAGCGGTGGGAGGGCTGAACCAGTCGTTCTCAGCCCAGAGTAAGGGGAGGCCTGTGATTCTATAGGTCGGGTAATCTCTCCCAAAACTACGGCTCCGCCTACCGGCCTATCACTTTAAATATCAATCAACTTGTAATGTATTTATAATATATCAATTGATATGCAATGTCTAAAAGAAATGAAACAAATATGAAGAATAAACTGCTACCTGTGTATTAGTAGTTCCAATGTGGTGTATACTCTGGCAAATTGTGTGGGTTTTTTTTTTTTTTTTTGCTTCTCAGGGAAAAAAAAACTTGCAAGTGATGGACTTAAAATGTGTTAAAATTAAAAGCAATCAGTAAAAGGTTTTTTCAGTAAAGTGGGAAGTTTCGGGAATTCAAAGTGAGTTCGAAATTTTAAGACAAAATTGATGAATTGAAAATATATCTGATGTAAAAAACAATTCCAGTTTGTCTATTTCAAATTCGCTTTGACAATTTACAGTTTTTAAAATAATCCAGTGCCTAACAGTGTGGAAGTATTTTGTTTTCAGTCCGTATCATAATTATCTATGCATCTTATCAACACATGATTTTTCAAGTGAAGAAAGAGTCAGTAATACCAGGTATAACAAGAATGGTATAGTGACAGACTGAAGGAAGAAATGGCGCTAACACGATATAAGTCTAGTACTGCTAAAAATAACTCAAGTGTAATGCCACTAGTTACACTTAAAACATGATACATGGTACCTATATAGATTACACTATGTGTTTTTCAATATTTATTTAATGTAGGAGAGAAAAACTCAATTTTATTGGTTACCAAAGAACTATCATAGGGAAGGTAAACCAAATATCTCTGTGCGCGCAAATCACCATGTTTGTTTTTTAATTATAACAAGAATGGTGTTGTAAACATGATATAGAATGAAACTTTGTCTTATGATATGATCTGTAGTGGAGCTAAAGTAGAGGAAGCTCTGGTGAAAATATTTCTTAAAGCCCCCTCTTTCGCAACTATACAGAAAAGGCTAGATCCCTGTCTGTTGTACAACTCCCACAATATTTTGCCAGCTGGAGGTTGTATTTAGCACTACTCCGTGTTTGTATGCTTGAATGTAAGCATGTTATTGTATGGAGTATGTGTGTGTAAATGTAGTGGTATATTTTTGTGTAGTGATGTATTGTGTATTTTTATGTACTGTTCATTAGAAAGTAGTAGTTGACTTGTGTGTAGTGTTTAACTTTGAATGCGGGGGTGTATTTTTGTGTAGTGTTGGGAATTGAATGCTGAAATGTATACAAATATACACTGTCACACGCACACTGATACACATACATACACACACACACACAGACACGCACTGACACACATGTGGATACACAGACACACAGATATACACACAGACACACATGCAGATACACAAACACACATATATATATAGACACTTGCAGATACACTAGCACACATACATATACAAACACTAGCACACATACAGAAACACAGGTGTGGACATTCAGATACACAGACACATGCTGACACACATACAGATACACAGACACAGAGATACACACACTGACACTCTTGCAGATACATAGACACATACATTAACACAAAAACAGATACCCAGATACACAGACTGACACACATGCAGATACACAGACACACTAATGCAAATGCAGATACACAGATACACACACTGACACACACATTGACACACACGCCGAGTAAAACACGCAGATACACAATGATACATCATATAGATACAAAAATTGACACACATACAGATACTGACACACACAGATGCACAGGGCACACATTGATACACAGATACACACAAATTGATACACACACAGACAGATACACAGACATAAAGATAGCTACACAGACACATAGATAGATATACAGACACGCAGATAGATACACAGACACAGCTAAAGCCACACATATTTTAAGCCACCCTCCGGTTTCCTATCTTTTGGGTGCAGGAGGGTGACTTCCTTGGGGTCCAGACAGCTGGCTTAGGCTATTGGGAGTCAGAGGCACTCCCACTCCTCATCCCCACCTCTCTGCCTTTTCCTCCCACGTGGCTCAGTGTTATCTCGGAGTAAGTGACCGACTGTCACTTCCTCACAGGCTGCCAAGATTACAGGAGCCCGGTTGCACTCTTAGAGAGTCACAGCGTACGACCATGCCGCTGAATGCACTTTGCCATTGGTTGGCCCTAAGTGCATGAGACACCCGATGGGCCCCTTCAGTGTGTAAGCCCCAGTGCAGTCGCACCAGCTGAACGGACAGTAGTTCTGCCGCTGGATATGATCATTTCAAACAAATATTACTCTTCTTTACATTGTGCCTACGTCAGTGATAGAGCCCTTGATCATTTTCTGTTTTGAGGACACATTGCTAGTGTAGATATTGAACATATAAGACAGGACTTGTCTAGAAAATAACATTTGTAGCAGGAAGTGTAGAAATAAGAACTCAAAGGGCACCAAAAGAATTAAAAGGTTGTAACAAGCATAAGCATGCACAGCACATTCCAAGAGAGAGTAGCAGGAACAAGCTCTTAAAAGAGCTTAGTGATTATAATCCCTGGGGAGGAGAGTGATATAGCAATCCCCAGGGTAGATGCAGCCTTTCCCCCCACACATGAGACAGGGCTCTATGTTGAGGGTAAAACAGGAACTCAGCAGGTCTGAGGGTTTATTGAACAACTTGGTCTTTTATACAGTTTTCCCCCCAAGGTTACCACCGAGGTGGTCCTTGTGGGGCACAGGGACACAGGTACAACAAGCCAATTAAAATATAGTTTTACATTCAGTCACTCCCATACAGTGTACACAATCCCTCCCCTCTGCCTATGATATAATTAATGAAGACAATGGACTAACTCAATTATCTCTAAGCAGAAAAAACACATACATTTTTAAAACCCCCAAAAAGTACCGCAAAATACAACATATCCCCACATCCCCTGATTGCCCTGATCTGGGTGAACAACATATCAAAAAATCACCCAGATCGGTTCAGGGGTTCAGGAATTTCCTGGAAGTCTTATTTTTGCCCCACCGTGCACATGGTCCCCTGCCCAAAACAGTTCCATACACTCGACAACAAAACACTGCTGGACAATTCAAGATGGCCGTCGCCACATGTTTGAATCTGTTCCAGTTAAAAGTCCAGGGGGCAGAAACAGTACTTTTGAACAAGGGTTATCACAGGGCCCATAGTCCCAGGGTAGGGCAAACAGTCCCCTCCAAAAACCAGTGGCGAAGTTGCTTTTGTCACAGTATAGATGTGGGGTGACAGTGTGTATTGTATTGGTGTAGTGTGACAGTGTGTATTGTATGGTGTAGTGTGACAGTGTGTATTGTATTGGTGTGGGGTGACAGTGTGTATTGTATGGTGTAGTGTGACAGTGTGTATTGTATGGTGTAGTGTGACAGTGTGTATTGTATGGTTGTGGGGTGACAGTGTGTATTGTATATGTGTGGGATGACAGTGTGTATTTTATAGGTGTAGTGTAACAGTGTGTATTGTATATGTGTGGGATGACAGTGTGTATTGTATATGTGTGGGATGACAGTGTGTATTTTATAGGTGTAGTGTAACAGTGTGTATTGTATATGTGTGGGATGACAGTGTGTATTTTATAGGTGTAGTGTAACAGTGTGTATTGTATATGTGTGGGATGACAGTGTGTATTTTATAGGTGTAGTGTAACAGTGTGTATTGTATATGTGTGGGATGACAGTGTGTATTTTATAGGTGTAGTGTAACAGTGTGTATTGTATATGTGTGGGATGACAGTGTGTATTTGTATAGGTGTAGTGTGACAGTGTGTATTGTATAGTGTGTGGGGTGACAGTGTGTATTGTGTAGGTGTAGTGTAACAGTGTGTATTGTATATGCGTGGGATGACAGTGTGTATTGTATAGGTGTGGGCAGGGCCGATCCCAGAGTCACAGAAGCGTGGGTGCAGATTTTTTTTGGCGTCTCCCAGGTCATATTACTAACCCCTCCCCTTTGCAAATGTCAAGTCCAGACATGCATGTTTCTATAGCAACGACTTCACCTCTCCATCCATAATCACCACCAATTTTTATAATCAGACATGCACTCACTGACAGTCACACAATTTCAGTGAGAGACACACAACACTCACTGATTTGACACACCCTGACAGACACACACCCACTTTCATTAAGAGTATATGTCAGTTTGTGTCAAATCAGTGAGTGTGTGTGTCTGTCAGTAATATTGTGTGACTGCCAGTGAATATGTCTGTCAGTGTGTGTGTGTCTGTCAGTAATATTGTGTGACTGCCAGTGAATATGTCTGTCAGTAATATTGTGTGACTGCCAGTGAATATGTCTGTCAGTGTGTGTGTGTGTCTGTCAGTAATATTGTGTGACTGCCAGTGAATATGTCTGTCAGTGTGTGTGTGTCTGTCAGTAATATTGTGTGACTGCCAGTGAATATGTCTGTCAGTGTGTGTGTCTGTCAGTAATATTGTGTGACTGCTAGTGAATATGTCTGTCAGTGTGTGTGTGTGTCTGTCAGTAATATTGTGTGACTGCCAGTGAATATGTCTGTCAGTGTGTGTGTGTGTCTGTCAGTAATATTGTGTGACTGCCGGTGAATATGTCTGTCAGTGTGTGTGTGTGTCTGTCAGTAATATTGTGTGACTGCCAGTGAATATGTCTGTCAGTGTGTGTGTGTGTGTGTGTGTGTGTGAATGTGTCTGTCGGTGTGTGTGAGTGTGTGTGTCTGTCTGTCAGTGGGTTTCAAATCATTGAAAGTTTGTGTCTGTCATTGTGAGTGTGAGTCAGTGCATCTAACCATTTGTGAGGTAGCCTCCTCACACAGAGCACACTCAGCACACACATCTTCCAACACAACCACACACATCACTCCCTGCTACTCACACACAGCCACACACATCACTCCCAGCTACCCACCCACATCACCTGTGCCCGTGCTTGCAGTGTTCATGTCATTTTAACTATAGCCAGTGCAACGTTTGCAATGTGCCCAGTATACCCACTCTGGTCAAGCTTGAGTTTCTTCGCTGGGGACAGCACTGTTTTGTATTCAGACTCTCTGTATCGCCCATCAGCCCCCTGTGAATATGCACAGCTTATCCAACACTGTGTGCCAGCATTGAGGTTATCCTGTCCCTCTGCTGGATCATCACCTGTTTATTGTGTTCCTGATGACTGATTTCCTGATTCCTGGCTCGGCCTTCTTATATTATATTTTCCTGGGGTTTTCTTTTGCTTTCCTGATTTCGGCCTGTCTCTATTCCTATTGCCAGCTGTCCGTCACCACATTAAAGGAGATTTCTGTATTTCATGAAAACATGGTAATAGCCCTCCTATTCTTTTCATTTTACTTTAGCTCCCTGCGTACCGGGTTCACTTAACTCTCACAGGACTGTTATATACACGGCCGGGTATCCCTGCCTGCAGTTAGCAGACAAAATGATTGGTAATTTAAACAAACAACGTCCTGTACTGTCCTCAGTGTCCTGTGCACTCTCTGAAGGTCAGTGTGGGGCCAGAGACAGAAGCAGACTTATGCACAAGAAGGAAAAGTCAATGTTTTAAAGGGATAGCTATTTCTGTTTTCCTATAGGCAGGGATCAATGTGGTGAGGGGGTGCTGTGCATGTATTGTTTTAGATCCATTGTTACAACTTAATTTACCATTTCCCCATCGGTACTCCCTCCCTTCACGTAACATCAGAATTGGGGAATCTTGGTTCCTAGCTGTACTGGCAGAAGAACATGATATTTCTATTCTGTTTGATTCCACTGCACTTTATTATTCTCAGTTCACAGTCTCTCTGGGTGTATAAAATCCACTGAACCCCATCAATGCCTCATCAATAATCTCACTTGATCTCTGAACCAAATTGCAGGAAAATTTGCCTATCTTTGCACTGCAAAATCTATACACATACACACATATTTATATGACGTATATATTTTGCAGCACACGATTTTCATGTCCATTTTGGTGCATCCGAATTGATTGGCCAAATATTTTTCATGGAAGATATTCAGATGAGCCAAACCATCAAATAAACAAGGTCCTGGACTATATTTAATTTTTCAAAAAAATGGTTTGCCCAATCCAAATGTTTCTGCCCTGCACAAGTCTAGTAATCTGTCGTTCAAGTAGTCCATCTAGAGTATGTACTAAATGCATAATGCTGGCATTTCTATTTGTCCCTGACTGACTGCACTGTGGCCATTGTTGATTTGTTTAGTAGTTTAGGAACTGATTAGGAATTTACCTTTTACTTTTTTACACGACTCAAGAGATTAATGTGATTAATGTAGAATGTTCTAAAGGATCACTATAGGGTCAGGAACACAAACATGTATTCATGACTCTATAGTGCTAAACCCACCATTTAGGTGGCTTGGCCTCCCCTTAGCCTCCCTATAAAAGTTTAAAACTCACCTTATTTCCAGCGCCACGCGGGACCACAGGCGCAGGCTCCACCCCCTTTGTGACATCATCAAAATGGCAGATTTTTAGCCAATTTAGCCCATAGGGAAAGCATTGTATTGGCTAAAATCGGTACGGGGGTGGGGCCAAATGCCTTTTGGCCAATCAGGACCTCCTCATAGAGATGCATTGAATCAATGCATCTCTATGAGGAAAATTCAGCGTCTCCTTGCAAAGCGTGGGGACGCTGAACGGCAGGGCTGCTGACTGTGCAGCCCTGAGCCAGGAAGCCCCTCCAGTGGCCATCTAAGGAGTGGCCACTTGGAGGTTCCCTAGGGGCAATGTAAAAACTGCCTTGTCTATGAAAATGCCTGAAGGGAGCTATTATACTCACCAGAACAACTACATTAAGCTGTAGTTGTTCTGGTGACTATAGTGTCCCTGTAAGTAAATACAAATATTTATCTGTAAAATATTCATGAATGTGACAGAGTTTGTTTTTCCTTTTGCATTTTCCTGCAGGTGGACCCATCTCTCCAAAGCGCAAATCTTCCCCCTATGACACACTGTTTTTTTCGTTAGAGCTGTTTTTGTCATGACATCACGCACATTTTACCTGTTATTTGCTGTCATAAACTTTTCTACACTCAGTTTTTTCATTTTGCCTTTGATACCCTCCTTCTCTCATCTTATGACGGATCCCTCTGCGGGGAAGCAGGTCCATATACTCATCATCTCCTCTTGGCGCTCTGGTTCTTCATTCCTTGGAAGCATCTTCAACAATCACCCGGAGGTATTCTACACCTTTGAGCCAGGACACCCCATCTGGATGAAACTATTGTATGAGCGTGCTGAGCTCCTCTATTACCCTGTCAGAGACCTTATACATTCCTTATTCAAGTGTGATGTTTCTCCTCTCTATTCCTACCTTCCACGAGGAGGAAAGCAACTCTCCGAGTTCTCGTTCTTTGCAGAGAGTCGAGCTCTATGTATGCATCCAACCTGCCTGTCCTCTAATACATCAGCCAGTTATAACCGTCTTCATTGCCTTCACGCATGTCGAGGCAAACCTCTGATAACCATTGAAGAGACTTGTAGAAACTATAGCCACATAGCAATGAAAACAGTTCGCATCTTGGACCTTAATGTTCTCATCCCACTCCTCCAAGACCCTAAGCTTGACCTGAGAATAATCCACCTAGTTCGAGATCCGCGAGCTGTTTCTTCATCAAGGAAGCACGTAAACCTTAAAATTGATGATGAGATTGTGTGTAGAGATCCCTTAGGTAATGGAAAACAAAACAACAAAAAACCAAACATTACTGAAGTCATGGGCAAGATCTGCAAATCACAGGTTGCCATGCATAAAGTGGGCAGAGATGCCAAATATTTTTCACCAGAGAATTACATGTTAGTTCGCCATGAAGATTTGGCATTGGATCCCTTGCCTAACGTCAATAAATTGTATTCTTTTAGTGGCTTGGGTATGACACCAGAGATTAAACATTGGGTGTATAATGTAACTCACAAAGATAGTTCTTCGGAGCCTGGTGGGTTCAGGTCATATTCCAGGCAATCCATAAAAGTCACTCAGAATTGGAAGAGGAAATTAAAGTTCAAGATAATAAAGGAAATCCAGGAAGTTTGCAGAGAGGCAATGGAGCTGTTTGGGTACCAACCTGTAGAGTCAGAATCTGATCTTAGAAAGTCAATTGGGTGGGAGAGGAATTAATACAACAAATAAAGAGTTAATGGTAAACGTAACTCTATTTCCAACAGTAAGGTACTGGTTTGCATATAACAAACAATTTGTCTTACAGGAATAGTCCAGTGTTACTAGTAGATACTTTTATAAGTGTGTGTTTAAAACTCCATTTAGATTCATGCCACAGGCCCCAGTACCCTAAAAAGTAGGTTACTTACGTCAAACCCAATGTCAAGAGGACTCCTTGTCGAAGCTCCACTCCACCTCTCGGAAGCATTGGTAGGAAAAACCTGTGTGTGGCAATCGCCTGCTCCTGCATTGCTTCTGTAGAGAAACGTTGAAACCGATGCTGCTACAAAAGTCCTCACATTGACTTTGAGCGATAGCAAAAATCAATGACAGTCAGGAGGGTGCAATCAAACGGCCTTAGAAAAATACCAATTTCTGCAACACTCAATGAACACTTTTATAAAGTCAAAGGGGATTGTTAAGACACCTCCCGTGTCTTTAAGCCAAACCGCCGTTTAGTAAACCTTCCCCGGTTGCAGTACAGTCTCTGTTCGCTTACTCGGTAACCCACGAACCAAATGCAGGGGAAGCGGCAATCTCCCGATCGAAATCCACGAACGGCTCCAAACTCCCGAACGGCAATATACGAACTGCTAGGAACCGCCGAACAATAATATCCCCAAAGCGGCTTTCGTTCCATCCAGCAGTCTCTAAACGTGAAGAAGAAATCCCCCCAATAACGAGACAGAAGCTCCGCATTGAGGGTCAAATAAGATCTGTGTTTACTGTGGGCTACCTGCCCGTATTTATGCAGGTCTCCCACCTGGTGGACACTCCCCTAGGGGACCAAATGGAAGACTTAAAGTACAGACAGATAGCAGGACATTTCTGACACACAGTCACATATTTTACCCACAGTGCATTCTGATTCTCTCCCCTCTGTCCTGGAGTTAATTACCAAGTAACTCAATTAACTCCAGGACAAGGACAGTCGCCATCTTAAGCATGAAATAATAAAAGACACAAAAATGCATAACTACATGAAAACTGAACATTTCCCATTCGTATTACATGTCCCCAGATAGCCTGGATCTGAGTGCATATTATTGGCGAATAGCGCTCAGATCCCACACACATAGTTCAATCGCCATGGAGTCAAAGTTCTTACAGTCCTTCGGTACACGAATGACTCCATGGGTGGGCTATCTGGGCTAAGTCTTTTGTGTGTTCTCAATCTCCCGAACGGCCGATGTTCGCATGCTTTCGTGGAGGCAGCCAGGCGTTCCCTTGTTTCAGCGGTGTTCGACAGAAAAAGTGTCCGTTTTCCGCTCCATAGAAATAGAGCCAAACACCGCTGAGCGTTCGCATGATTTAAAATGGCCGCTGCCTCGTGGTCGACATACGAACGACGACCACCCTGAGTTCGGTTTAATTGAGAAGTGTCTGCGGCTAACCACAACGTTATAATGGTGATCACTTCGTTAACCTGCAGCACACTCCTCACTTGGGTGGCCGTTCGTTCGGCGGTTTTGTTCGGGAAAAAGAGTCATTCGAATGGCTGGGCTACAGAAACCAGCCATTCATACGAACGGGGACAAACAGACGAACGGGCAAAAATCCAGCAGACAGATGGTTCTGTCACACGGCTCCCTCCTTGTGGGACACTCCGGCAGACCCGGCTTGACCCTGTGGCGGGTCAACTTGGGGATGACCGGACTACGAGGTGATGGAAACGTCTGTTTGTCGTGACAACCCATCTGCGTTTCCGCTTAGCTTACCGGGTCTGTAGCTGATGGTAAAATTGTAGGGCTGTAGTGCCAAGCTCCATCTCAGCAGTCTCCCATTGTCTCCTGAGACCCGGTTAAGCCAAACGAGTGGGTTGTGATCAGTCACAAGGGAAAACTCTTGCCCATACAAATAGGGGTTTAACTTTTTCAATGCCCAGACCAAAGCCAAACACTCCTTCTCCACTGCCGCATAACTCACTTCTCTGGGTAACAACTTTCTGCTGAGATATGCGACAGGGTGCTCTCTTCCATCTTCCCCGACTTGGCTCAGCACAGCCCCCAGTCCATACATGGAAGCATCTGTTTGGACGAGAAAGCGTTTGTTAGGGACTGGGGCAGCCAAGACAGGGGCATTCACAAGAGCCTGCTTCAGTGCCTGGAACGCAGCTTCACAAGCCGGAGACCACAGGACCTGCTTAGGCAAGTTCTTCTTCGTCAGGTCTGTCAGGGGCTTAGCGTTAGCGCTGTAGTCAGGGACAAAACGTCTGTAGTACCCTGCCGTCCCCAAGAAGGCCAATACCTGGGTCTTAGTAGTAGGTGTGGGCCAGTTAGCCACTGCCTCTACCTTGGCTGGCTCCGGTCTCTGGCTCCCACACCCCACTCTGTGACCCAGGTACTGCACTTCAGCCATACCTAGATGACACTTTTCTGGCTTCAACGTCAGGCCAGCGGCCCTAATCTTATCCAGCACTACCCCTACATGTACCAGGTATTCCTCCCAGGACCCACTGTAGATCGCAATGTCGTCCAAGTATGCACAGGCAAATTCTTGGAAGCCATCCAGGAGTCTATCCACCATCCGTTGGAAGGTAGCCGGTGCATTTTCATCCCAAAAGGCATGACCTTAAATTGGTACAGGCCAAATGGGGTGACAAATGCCGACTTGGGGATAGCATCCTCGGCCAGGGGGATCTGCCAGTATCCCTTGCACAGGTCTATGGTGGTCAGATATCGCCCCCTGGCAATACGATCTAGTAATTCGTCTACCCGGGGCATTGGGTAGGCGTCAGTGGTGGTCCGCTCGTTGAGTCGCCTGTAGTCCACACAGATCCGGGTGGTCCCATCTTTCTTTGGCACCAGGACTACGGGCGAGGCCCAAGGGCTGTCGGAGTGCTCGATAACCCCAAGTTGGGTCATCTCCTGTATCTCCTTCCGCATTCCTTCACGGACTGCTTCAGGGATACGGGAGGGGGGCTGTCGTAACGGGGTCTGTCCAGGGGTCTCTACCTTATGCACAGCTAGGGTGGTATAACCTGGTTCCTGGGAGAACGTCACCTGCTTCTCCCATAACAACTGCTGCGCCTGTACCCTTTCTGTGGGGTTCAACCGGTCCCCTAGCTGTACCAAGGTAGTAAGGTCAGTCTGGGAATCCCTTTCTAATAGATCTGGAAGGGGTAAATTCTCAGAATCATCTGTAGCTGGGGCACACACTGCTGCAATATTCTCAGGTCTCTCCTGGTACTCTTTCAGCATGTTCACATGAAAGGACCGCTGGATCCTCTCATCTGCACAGCTGGCTATCAAGTAAGTAGTGTCGCAGATCTGCGCCACTACCTTGTACGGGCCCTGCCAAGATGCCTGCATCGTGTTGGCCTTCACAGGTTTAAGCACCAATACCTTTTGCCCAACCTGGAAGACCCGCTGTCGGGCACCCTGATCGTACCATCTCTTCTGTCTCCCCTGGGCCGCCTGGAGATTCTCCCTTACCATCAGGGACAGTTTCTCCACGCGGTCCCGGAGTTCCAGAACATATGGCACTATGGGGGTCCCTTCCTGCTCCGTCTCCCCCTCCCAGTGGCCTCTAATGAGATCTAGGGGTCCGCGGACCCTTCTCCCATACAGCAGCTCAAAGGGGGAGAACCCAGTAGATTCCTGGGGCACCTCTCTATAAGAAAATAATAGATGAGGCAGGAATCTCTCCCAGTCTCTGCAAGTGTCCGTAAAGGTCCTCAGCATCTGTTTGAGGGTACCGTTAAAGCGCTCGCAGAGACCGTTAGTCTGTGGGTGGTAGGGTGAGCTAAGTAACGGCTTAATGCCGCACACCTTCCACAGTTGCTGGGTGAGCACAGCGGTGAATTGGGTTCCCTGGTCGGAGAGGATCTCCTTAGGGAACCCGACCCTAGTAAAAATTCTAACCAGGGCATCAGCAACCGCCTCTGCCTCTATGTTAGACAGCGCTACTGCCTCTGGATAGCGGGTGGCATAGTCCACCACGGTAAGAACATACTTCTTACCGGATGGACTAGCCCTGGCCAGTGGACCCACAATGTCAACGGCTATGCGGGCAAAGGGCTCCCCTATAATAGGCATCGATAATAGCCTAGCCTTAGGGTGGTCCCCCCGCTTTCCTACCCGTTGACATGTGTCACACGTGCTGCAGTACATCCGCACAGCCTGGTTAAAGTTTGGCCAAAAGAAGTTCTGTGAAATCCTATAGGCTGTGCGGCGGGACCCTAGATGTCCAGCTAACGGAACATCATGCCCTATCCGCAGAATCTCCTGCCGGTACTTTGCAGGTACCACTAACTGGTGATTCGGCGGAGAGGCAACACTCTTCTGGGAAGGTTTAGGATCCTATATAACCTGTCCCCCACCCACTCATACCGTTCCCCGTCTACTCCTTCCTCTCCAGCATCTGCCCTGTCTTTGTACTTTTGGAGGGTCGGATCCGCCCGGGTTTCCCTCCCAAACTCCTCTGGGGAATCCCAGCTTAAGGGGACCTGATCTGGGGTATCAGTCGGGGAAGGAGATCTTACCTGGGTCTCGTCAGCAAGTGGGCTGGTTCCGGCAGCACGGGTCTGGGCACGGGTGGTCACTGGGTTCACGTCTGCAGGGCCCATCGGAGCATAGGCTGAAACCAAAGGGGCCAAATCGTTTCCCAAAAGAACATCTGCGGGCAAGTCCTTCATCACCCCCACATCCACATGCCTAGCGCCCACTCCCCAATCCAAATGTACTCGGGCAACAGGTAAGCGAAACACGGCACCCCCTGCTACCCTTACTGCCACAGTGTCTCCAGTGTGTTGATGCTCTGAGACCAAGTTCTTTTGGAGCAGTGTCATCGTGGCTCCTGTGTCTCTCAGCCCATTCACCACTCTGCCATTTAGCTTCACAGTTTGCCGATGTTGCTGGCGATTATCCTGGTGAGCCGCTTGCACTGGGTCTGCCTCGTGCAGAATGCCCCAAAATTCCTCCTGCTCTAGGCAGTGAGCAGCAGGCTGAGGTGGGCGCTGGTTTCCATTAACTGGTCTCCTCCAGGACTGAGCCTGGTTGGCACTGTTC